TACATATAGGTGGTATGATTGCCTTTCTAATTTCTCATCTATAAAATCCTCTCTTCCTTCTTTTCATTTCTACTCAACCCATACATTCAACAAATACAGAAGTGTGTAGAAATGGCAAGTTTCTCAGGTCATCATATAAGAAATAGTTGTGTTTTTGGTGGATCTAGTCCTGGGAAAGAAAAGGAGTTTTTAGAATCAGCAAATCATCTTGGTCAAGTGCTAGCTGAGAGAAAGATTCATTTAGTGTATGGGGGAGACAATCTTGGGTTAATGGGAGGTGTGTCAATAGTTGCATTTTTAGGAGGTAGTCAAGTTTTGGGGGTCGTCCCCGAAGCTTCAGCACAAGGGGACATCATTGGAAAAATAATTGGAGAGGAACTTCAAATCTCCACAATGTCGACTTGAATGAATCTAATGTTTAACCATGTTGATGCCTTCATTGTTTTACCAGGTGGTCTAGGCACATTGGAAGAGATCTTTCATATTTCCTCTTGGGCCCAATTGCACATTCACCATAAACCCATAGGTTTGTTAAATGTTAATGGTTATTATGATAAGTTGTTGTCTTTTTTTGATCATGCTGTGGAACAGAAATTTCTAACATCTTTTGCACGACAAATCATAATCTCTGCTGCTACTGCTGAACAATTGATTGACCAACTACAATCTTTCATTCCTGTAATTGATCCTTCTATTAGTCGTATAAATTGGTTAACCATGGAAAGCCGTAAAAAGCTTAGATTGGATTTGAGAATTCATTTGTGAATTTTTGTGTCTTTTGGTTTTATTATTGTGTTTTGTTGTTTCTTATATTTTTTTCAGTGTTCGTTATTTCAGGTGATATCTTCTATACTCTATCTTTTTACCTTTAAACATTGAGAACAATGTCTCGTTTTGGTTGGGGGAAGAGGGTAGTAGCTAAAAAAAAAAACTAACTGTGCTTTCTATTTCATAAAGTACGTGCAAAATTGTTATTACTATGATGGCAGAGTAAGGAGAACTTTTTATGACTCTTGAGACGCATCTTAGTAATCATTCGTAACAAGGTCTATCATAATACTTCTTGAAATATTCAGATTTACAAACTCTCGCATTGTTATCACTTAATTCTGCTCATATATGTATTTAACATGTATTCTTAAACCTTAATTTACACACACACATACACTTTAACATATGATTGTGGGTTGCATATTGGATTATTACATTATTTATGTTCTTTTGTTAAAGGTAACAACTAAAGGAAAAGGGATAGTATATAATTAAAAAAAACAAACACAAAAAAAAGACAAAAAAAAGAAAGAAAGAAAATGATAATAATAAAAATGTAGATAAGTTTGGTTTCGTAGCCTCCTTAACCTAAGCAATTAAGCCCGAAAGGGTGTTAAACACCTAACACCCTAAAGTCAACTGACTTGGAAGCTATTGGCCCAACGCTTGTTATATGGGTTGAGGAGAAAAGCTTAAGGGAATCAAACATTGCACTATCTACATATCAGTATCTGTGACATGAGTTATTAAGCTCGTAGGGGTGTCTTAACACCTAATGCCCTAAGACCAACTGGTCTGGGAGTCATTAGCAGAAAGCTCGTTACATGGGTTAAAGATGCATGGTGTTTTAAATTATATGTATATATATTAAAAAAAAGAAAAAAAAAGAAGAAGACAAAAATAATAATCCCAACCCAAGGAAGTTAACCTTAAACATTAGAACAAAAATTTTATTTTCTTCCAAGAAAAGCCCTATAATTATGTGTTGATATATTGAGTACAAAAAAAAGGTTTATGAATATCTTGTTAAGAGTTATTGAGCAGGTATATAAATTTAATGAGAGTTTGTTTATCTGGATAGATTAATGGAAGTTAAATGATGACTACCTTGCTTTGTGGAATTTACAAAGTATTTTTCTATTTTAACGCTTTGATTACTAGGGACTAGTAATAAGCTAGTTGGGGGGTGTGATTGATACTTAAAAGTGTATTTTTATCAAGGTTTTATATCATCATTTTGCACTTGAAGTATCAATAATTCCTTAACTAAAGCATGTTTTATAATAATATATCTAATAATATAAGATACCTTTAATTTATGGTAAATGTTCATTTTAAATGCAGGCCTATCACATAAATGAAAGGACTAAATGATGAATTTAAGAACTGAAATTGGAAGGACAAAGAGATGGCCAAACTTAGAAAAGAGATGTCGGTGCAATCCAAACTGGAATACTGTTCGGTAATTGGGTCATATCTGGAGCTGTAGATCTCAGATTTAGGTCTACTTTATATGGATGGAAAGGTAAGACATAGGCCTACAACTTTCATATGGAGCCCAAGATCTAAAAAGGCCATTTTCAAATCCAAATTGTAGCAACAACAAAGAAGTCCGAGTTTGTCTTCCAGCTCGAGTACTGTTCATTATTTGGCCCATATCTGGAGTTCTAAAAGTCCAAATGAGTGGAATTCTTTACACAAGAAATCTGAGACAATTTCCTACAACTTTTATGTTTTTAAGTGGCTCCAATTTTGACGTTATCAATGACGTTTTGGGCAGACAAAAGAAGATAATGATTGTCACCAAGTCAAGAGTTGATCACCCACTCATCAATTAGTCATCAAATCAATAGTTCCCAATTTTAGCCTATAAAAGGAGGCATTTGCCATGCATTTAGGTATCTTGGTGTCCAGATCAAGATTATGCTCTTGCTTTCTCTCTTTGTGTTTTTTGTAATGTTTATACTTTGTTTTCATTAATATCAAGTTTATGCCTTTTATTTCCTTTCCTTTACTTAGTTAACTTTTATCTTATTTATGTTCTTATTTTGTTTATCTATTTTTCTTTCTTTCATTATGTCTAGCTAAGTTTACTATGTAAAGGTGAAAAGGTTACGCTAATGTTTAACTAAGTTTATTATGTCAAGGTGAAAAGGTTACACTAATGGTGTAAGAATAAGTATAATATAAACTTAATATGGACTTTAATGTTTGATACTAACATGTTTTCTATTTGTTATCTTGTTCACTCTTTAATACTTTGCTTGTTAAATGACTAATCTTGATTTATGTTGTATAACACTTGGTACAACAAATGCTTGGCACTTTCATAGCCCATACTGTATGGTATAACCGACACCAGAGCTATGAAAGGAACTTGATTTGTTGTTAACATAAGTTATAATCATGAATGCTTGATGACATTTACAAGTATTAGCATTAATTGAATAAGATGACTAATGTAATCATATTAACAATCTATAATCTGATTGGAACTTCCTTTGTGTGTGGTTTCCAATTGAATAATAAGAGTTTATACTATATTTATTTGACATACTATTAGTGGATCCTCTAACCTTGACATTGTTTGTTATCATTGTTTAATCCTTATGTTAATTTTTCATCTCAAAGTTCTTATCAACTTTTCTTCTTCTTCTTTTTATTCTTTATTATTATTATTATTATTATTATTAGTACTACTACTACTACTACTACTATTATTGTTGTTGTTGTTGTTGTATTATTGTTATTTATAATTTATATAATTAACCTCCCTGTGGTTCGACCCCAGTCTTATCGGGTTATTTATTACTTCGACACTCCTGCACTTGAGAGAAAACATCAATCTTTTTATCGTGTCAAATATCCCTTTCAAAAATTTTTGTTGATATGAAAAAAATAATGTAAAGGATTCATATGCAATATAAATAAATTTTATCTAAATTAATAACTAATTTTAGAAAATATTTTTGAATTGTTATAACAATGGTAATGATTGTGGTAGAAAAAAAAACATTACAATTTCATAATATTAACGTCTAGATATTATTGTTTGGCATCTAGATATTAACATTTGTAGCATATTCATCATATAATCGAACAAACTTAAATTGAAAAATTAAAATTTTTATGATAAAAATAAAAAAATTCTCTCTCTTTTAATGTTCTCTTATTTTTGTAAGAAGGAGATGAGGTTTCTTACAGCAATGACAAAAAAAATTATTTCAATTTCTAATCATACTTATAAATATATGAGAAAACCTAAAAATGCTCCTAATTATTGAATTGGTTTCCTCAAATATGTTTTTGTATGGATTTTATACCAAACAACTTTTATTTATCAATTGGGTATTCTATTACAATTGCTATATACAAATGTTAAGTTTCATATAAAACAATTTTATTTATTACAAAATAATAGTACAATTTGGATAGAAATCATGATCAAATATGAATGGAAAGATTTAATTAAGAATTTCTTAAATATTATGGACAAATTTGATAGAAAAAATAAATATTTTAAGATATTTTTTGTTCATTTTAAATTTAATATAGTTCTTAATAATTAAAACTTATGTTTCATTTTCTTTATTAAATATAAGAATTTATTTATTTATAATGTTTAATAATTTATTTGTTTTTTTTTTAAATTAAGATTTATTTTTTCTATAGAATTAGTATATGAGATTCTAGTCTTCAATAATTCCATGCCTCCCTCCCAATTCTAAGCCTCACAAAAAGAGAAAATAAAAATAAAAATGGAGGGTAAAAATGAAGAGACCACAAGAAAAGAAGGCAAATAACCGAAAAACATGGAAATTCAACAAATCCCCACAAAAAAATCACACGGGAAATTGCAGCGCAAGAACTTGTCAAGCTCTTTTGCCAAAGTAATGGAATTAGATTGGCATTTCCATCCATTTCCTTTTCTCTTCATCGTTTTTACCCTCCATTTTTCGTTAACATGTTCTGTTTCTGATTCTGAAGCATTGCTTAGGCTTAAAAAATCATTTACTAACGCTGGTGCTCTTAGCTCTTGGATCTCAGGCTCTGTCCCTTGCAATAGACAAACCCACTGGAACGGACTTCTTTGTTTCAATGGCATTGTCACGGGTCTTCAGCTCGAAAACATGGGCTTATCAGGAACCATTAACGTTGATGCATTGGCTACTATGCAGGGACTCAGGAGCCTAAGCTTTGCTCGTAATTCTTTTACAGGTGCAATTCCTGAACTCAATCGTTTAGGCCATTTAAAGGCTATATACTTGAGAGGGAACCAGTTTTCTGGTGAGATTCCCTCGGATTTCTTCTCGAAGATGAAGTCTCTGAAGAAAGTTTGGCTCTCCGATAACAAGTTTACTGGAGGAATTCCACCATCACTGGCTGAGTTGCCTCGGCTTAGCGAATTACATCTCGAGAACAATCAGTTTAGTGGGACTATTCCATCTATTGATCAACCAACACTGATGTCATTTGATGTGTCAAACAATATACTGGAAGGGGAAATCCCACCGAATTTAGCAATATTCAATTATAGTTCCTTTGATGGAAATGATCATCTCTGTGGAGACAGATTTGGCAGAGGATGTGAAAACACGATGCAGACATCATCAGAACCACCAACCGGTGTTGGTTTGGATGCTGATATGATGGTTAGCAAACACAGAGGTCATAACAACAATAAAGTTATAAAGACAGTCGCGGGGGCCGTAACTCTGGCCGTGTTGCTTCTTTCTATAACAGCATTGATAATCTTTAGAATGAGGCGAAGGGACAAAGATTTTGATGTGATTGAAAATAGAAGTAATGGTAATGCAGCAGCAGCAGCAGCGGCAGCAGCACTTGAGGTGCAAGTTTCGTTGTCGAATAGACCAAAGGGAGTGGATGCTCCCAAAAAGATGGGATCAAACCGTAAAGGATCTAATAATGGAAGGAGTGGTGTAGGGGAATTAGTTATTGTGAACAATGAAAAAGGTGTATTTGGGTTGCCAGATTTGATGAAAGCTTCGGCAGAAGTGCTTGGAAATGGAGGAATGGGGTCTTTGTATAAGGCGCAGATGGCTAACGGCGTTATGGTGGTGGTCAAGAGAACGAGAGAAATGAATACTTTGTCCAAAGATCAATTTGATGCAGAAATCAGAAAGCTAGGAAGACTGAATCATACTAATATTTTGACACCACTGGCTTTTCTTTATCGGCCGGATGAGAAGCTGTTGGTATATGAATACATGCCTAAAGGCAGTCTGCTTTATTTGTTGCATGGTATGATATCATTTTCCAATGTTTTCTTTTACGAAGGTTCGTCTCATGTTTGGTTTTTCTCAGCATTCATGTATCTTGCTTAACATTATATTTCTTCAGGTGATCGAGGAACATCACATGCTGAACTCAATTGGTTTGTTCGTCTCAAGATTGTTCAAGGAATTGCCAGGGGATTGGGCTATCTTCATACAAAACTTGCTTCCTCTTCCTTGCCTCATGGCAATCTCAAATCAAGCAATGTCTTTCTTAGCAATGATAACGAGCCATTGCTTTCAGAATTTGGACATAGTCCCCTGATCAGCCCTCCAATGTTGGCTCAAGCATTGTTTGGGTATAAAGCCCCAGAAGCAGCGCAATATGGTGTATCACCTATGTGCGACGTGTACTGTCTAGGGATCATCGTACTTGAAATCCTTACAGGAAAATTTCCTTCTCAGTACCTCAACAAGGCCAGGGGAGGGACTGATGTAGTCCAATGGATGGAATCAGCAGTTTCCGATGGCAGAGAAACTGATTTGCTTGATCCTGAAATTGCAAGCTCAACAAATTCACTTGGTCAGATGAGGCAACTCTTGGGTATTGGGGCTGCTTGTGTTAAAAGAAATCCTCAGCAACGGTTAGACATCACAGATGCTATTCAAATGATACAGAGCATAAAATTGGAAGACAGTAACCACGAGGGCAGGACAATGCAAGTTTTACCATCACTTCGAGATGTTTATGCAGTTGCACCACAGACCAGCGTGTCTGATATTCAAGAAGTTGATGGGGAGAGCCCTAGGAGGAGACATGGATCAGGTAGCTTTATGGATGGAACTAAACACCCGAGTCGTGATCATTTTTCTTTTCCGGCTCCTATTTAGATACTCTTCAGCAATGACACATCAAATTCTGATTAAAGGAACTCTTCAAAATAAAGGAAATTAGTTCCAATCCAACTTAGGACATTAAGTTTCAGTAGCATCTGCAATGATGACTGGACAGCATTTTCGAGGTTTCGGCACAAGAAGAAAATGAGAATGTGGAGTTACAATGCATATGCACTAGACTTGTAACTTAATCACATAGTGTTAGAACCTTCTCCCTTTTCCTTCATTTTTCTGGCCAGATATTTTTCTTTGTACTTTCAAACTTGCTGCTAGATTTTTGTGATCATGCTGTACGTTTTTCTTGTAATGCTTCACTTAAAGAAACTAATTTTAATAGCTTGTAGACCAAGCATGATCATTTCAGTTTCTAAGAATTCTGCAACATACAAGTTTCAATTACAAGCCCCAACTGTGTGCAACCTGTGCATCAGGATTAATTTTGCAGCAAGAACATCCCAGAAGCGGAAAGGGGAAACTTTCATCACCTAAAATAGCTTAACAATCTGTTCTACTTCTATGTACACAATGAGGTGGAGCTTCCATTAAGTTAATGCTTCCAGACTTCAGCATTGACAAACACTAACAAAACGCCTCCATGACTACTGCTCCAGCATAATGACCAATCTTAGTTTCCTTTGTAAATCTGAGTGTTCATTTCAGCTTCGACAAAACATTTCTCGAAGCTTATACTCTCCCCCTTTTCTTCTTGTTTCCTTGGTTGATGGAGCTGAAGCAAGTGTCTTCACCTCGATGTTGCTGAAATGATTGACCAAATCAGCTGGCTCCTCAGATCAAGGTGAAGTGATATAAAAGCCAAAACATCGTTAATTTCTGAGGGAATTAAGCAATGAAGACCTCATCGGGACTCCCCAACCAGAAATATTTTTTTTGTTAAATCATTGATTAAGGCCGAATTAATCATGCATTTTGAGATGCACCTCGAGAATCCCATTGAGACTCCCAAGTTACAACTCATATACAGATTAAAAACACATGTTAGTCAACCCTTCTGTACCTCACAGATAGCTCAACACAGCTGGAGAAATCAGCAGCATGAACATTAAAAAATGATTCAGATTGATAGGGTTCTAATCTGGCACACAGCAATATCTAGCCCACCTTTTGCACTGACAATGACGACATGCAAAATCCCGTAGCTTTCCATGCCATAACATCACATCTTTACTTATCCACAGCCTCATGCATTACACATCGAGCCTGGCTATAGGCAAATGCGATTTCAGGGGGGCCTGTGCTTGAGCTCCTGGAATTGGCTGGCCAGCAGCAGCAACTTTACCATGCCATACCAGATATAATTAGCAAAACCAAGACCTTGAGTTTCTCCTTTTTTATAAGTGACCCTGCAGCAGTGCCATTCGTGCACCAAATTATTTAGTAATAATTAATAATAATTTATTAGCAAGCACTTGAAACCATACTTGCAGAATCAGAAAATTCATTAAAAGAGAGAGAGAGAGAATGTACTGTTATTACTGCCTGTCATCTGCACTTTGTTCTATACATCTTCTATTGTTTTGATTTAATTTGTTTTATTTAAATCATAAACGTAAGTGCGAGCATGAATGCACGTGAATGTCGGCCTATTTTGGTAATAGATTAATTGACTTAATTAATTCTTTATCATATGCTAATTATTTGCCTTTCATAGCTCGAGAGAGAAGGCCAGAGCCAGCACAGTAAGCTTTTGTTTCTCTGCAAAACAGCTGTGCTCACAATTTCTCATTCATGTTGATTTGGTTTTTGTCTTTTATGATATAGTTATTGATTCGCCAATTAATCACAATAATATCATATATTAAGAAAAACTAAAAGATAATGGACAGTTGCGTTGCAGATATGAACAGTGCTCAAAACGAAGTCTTTTGCTCAAAATGCTGTCGTTTTTTCTAAAAGTGATGTTTTTGAAAATTTGAATTTGATTTGGTACTTGTTGATTCATGCAAAGGTATAAATCTAAATTGCCCATAACTCAGTCCTCAATTTGAGTTTTAATTAAATAATATTAATTAAATTAAATTAATTTTCATATAATTTTTTTAAATCTAATATAAAATGATTGAGTTTTGAATTAATTTGACCGAATAAAATTTAATAACACTAGTTTAAATATGTATGATATGTTTATTTGTATTAAAATAGGGTTAGAAAGAAGAGAGATAATCTACTTTTTTTTTAGTTTTTAAAATTAATTAAAATATATTTTGAGGTTTTAAAATATTTTTTTTGATGTTATTAGAATAATTATAAAATGTTAGAGGTAAAAATAATATACAAATTAGGATTCAAAATCACCCCTTTATTTATCAAAATTTGAACAATTTCTTTATATATATAATTTTTTTATGTGTTATTTTTCATTGTTTATTATTTTATTGAAATACTTTTTTCTCATAATTAGTAATTATTTGGTGAGTTTATTTTTAAATTTATGAATTAAATTAACCTCCGTGTCTTCTTTCTATTATTGATATTTTTTAAATAAATAATAAATACATGATGTTGAATACATAATAAATTGAACAATGTTCACAATTAATATGGATTGATTTTAATCTCATATACTTAAATTTATTAACTAATTAATGTATTTAAATAAGTCCTACAGACTACCCATCATGAGCGCACCGGCATTGCAGAGTACAATTCCCAATCAAGGTGTTGCCGTGGAGAAATTAATGAGGGCCCGTCTAGGTTATTATGAGATTGAGATCATGGAATTCGCACCCAAGACTGATGATGTCCAAGGAGCCCACTCAAATCATTTCGTGCAAGCATGGGCTTCGACTTCCCCTTTAACTTTCCAGACATGTCTAGTCTCACAGATAAATCCATTAAAGAGGTTTTAGAAATTTTAAATTAATTTATTTTTATATTTTGTATAGGAAAATTTTTTTAAAATAAAAAAAATATAATTTTAAAATAAAAAATATTTTAAAAAATAATCTTTATCGCTGCTTGAAATACTCCTGCCAAAATTAGGCCATGTAAATCACTTTTCTTATAATAAAACTTCAAAATCATTTTGGGATAATTTAGAAATTTGGTAAAAACTATTATTTTTTAAATATATTTTATTTAAAAATATATTAAAATAATATATTTAAAAAAAAGAATTATTTTTAATATTAATACATTAAAATAATTTTAAAATAAAAAATAATTTAAATTTAAAAAAATAAAAAAATTTAAAAATATAATTGAGTTTTTTTAAAAAAAAATACAGTTGAACTGTAATGATAAATTCCACATTATATATAAATATCTTGAAATAGAAAATTAAATAATAAAATATTGAAACTATTATTTTTTAATGTTGGAGGATTTTTGCTACTCAGATGAAGGAAATATATCGAACTCAACTATGAATGAATAAATGCGATTATTTTTAATTTTTTGAGTTTAAATCTTAAAATTAATAGTTAATGAAATTTATTCTCTTCAACATGCTATATTGATAGATATAGGAATGAGTTATTAAAGTTCTCAAGGAAGAAAACTCAATTTCTATTAATAATTACATAGTCGCTTTTTTATTTTATTTTTCTAAAATCACCATTGTATAAAATTGTTAAATAGAAAAATTTCTCACCCGCAACAAAAACTAAAATTATGTAAAACAGCACTAGCAAGAGTGCAGCTAAAATCAATTTATTAAAAAACAAATCAAATCATAATTCACCACCATGATGTATTATATCGTTATAAGTATTTGTTACAGGTTTTAGTCCTAGGCCGGTTCAAAATGGATTTCAAGTTTTGATAAGGTGATTGAGTTGTCTAGATTAATTTTTTTAAAATTAAAATAATATTAATTTTAAAAAAATTAATAAATTATAAATAAATTTTAATTAAATTTTATTTATTCAATTCATTAAGTTAACCAGATCATATTAAATTTTTTTTCTTTAACCTAGTTTGATTCTAGTTCTTGGATTAATTAGATTTTAGGATGACTTTTTTAAAATTATAGAATTTAAAGTAAAGATCAGGATGACTCTTTAAACTAAATTAGGTTTTAAAATTATAGAATTTAAAGTAAAGATTGTTTTTTAAAATATATTTATTTAAAAATATATTAATTTTAGAAATGATTATATTGAAAATATCTAAAAAATAAAATAAAAATTAATTTAAAATTTTTTAAAATTAAAATATAATTGTATCGCCATACAAAATAGAATTTACATAGTAATGCCAAACGGGGGAGGCTAGACATCCTGATGAAATTCATCGTCCGGTTGAGATCTTGTAATTTAAAAAGAAAGCAAGGAAGAAAGAGGGAGAGAGAGTAGCTGGGCTGGGCGAGATCGCCGGTATATTTGAAAAGAGATTCCGGCAGGCCAGGATGAATAGAGAAAGTTTTTTAAAGAAAGAATACTACGTAGTTGGATTTTCTTTTCTTTGAATTCAACACTCAATCAAACGTTTCAGTTTCAGACAAAAATCCCCACAGTTGCCCTTACTTAAACGAGTCCTCACCACTCCCAAAGGCCACAGTCCACACACACACACACACACAACACCAATAACCATCCATCTATAATCTACAGTTCCTCCTGCAAATATACCCCCACCACCATCTCCTCCACTAAAAACCACAACGATCTCTTTTTCAAGATTCCAAAGCCAATTCCTCCTCCTTTCAAGATTTTAGGTTAAAAAGGAAGCATTTTTCTGCTATATACAAAAGCGAAAACCCAGAGGAAAAAAAAAAGGAACAAATTTCTTTTAACTTCGTATATTTTTGAGATAAATATAATACCCTTTGCTTTTTCAAGATTAGAATTTTGGTTCTTGGTTTCTTATAGCTAGTCAGTCATGGAACCACCAGAAAATTACAGCACAAGTACCTCTTTTGCAGTGCCTTTGGAAGATGCCCAGAAGATAATTCTGAGGTGGGACTCAACAGCATCAGAAGAAGCAAGAGAAAGAATGATCTTTGGTGGAGATCGTCAAGAAGTGGATCTATACTTACAAGCTGTTGATGAAATCCAAAAGTCTATGTCATCGACTTCAATATCACCTCCTTCATCCCATCATCATGATGAAGATAGTAACAGTAACAAAGTCAACTCTGCTATACAGATCGCCATGGCTAGACTTGAAGATGAGTTCCGCAATATCCTTATTAACCATACAAGCCCTGTTGAAGTAGACTCTCTTTTCATTCCTGATCATGCTCCTGCTCCGGCTTCTTCTTTGAACCACAATACTAGTTCGGTAGGAAGCAGCAGTGAATTTGATCAGGAGGAAGTTGGTGGTGGTGATCATGTTGATGCTTTAGATCCTATACAGCGTGCAGATTCGAGTAATAGTAGTGCTAGTTATCGATCTACGAGTAGTATTCGTGAGATCGATCTGATTCCTCAAGAAGCTGTAGCAGACCTTCAGTCCATTGCGAAACGGATGGTCTCTGCTGGGTACTTTAGGGAGTGTATCCAGGTCTATGGGAGTGTGAGAAAATCAGCTGTGGATGCGAGTTTTCGGAGACTTGGGATTGAGAAGTTGAGTATTGGGGATATTCAGAGACTAGAATGGGAGGCTTTGGAGACCAAGATCAGGAGGTGGATTAGGGCGGCCAAGGTTTGTGTTAGGATATTGTTTGCTAGTGAGAAGAAGCTTTGTGAGGAGATTTTTTATGGGATTGGTACTGCTATCGACGATGCTTGTTTTATGGAGACTGTCAAGGGTCCAGCGATTCAATTGTTTAATTTTGCTGAGGCAATTAGTATTAGCAGGAGATCTCCTGAGAAAATGTTCAAGATTTTGGACTTACACGATGCTTTGATGGACTTGTCGCCTGATATTGAGGTTGTCTTTGAATCAAAATCTGCTGATTCCATTCGAGTCCAGGCTGCTGAGATTTTGTCAAGATTGGCTGAGGCAGCTAGGGGGATTTTATCTGAGTTTGAGAGTGCTGTTTTGCGTGAGCCCTCGAGGGTTCCGGTGCCTGGAGGGACAATTCATCCGTTGACAAGGTATGTGATGAATTACATCAGTTTGATTTCGGATTATAAGCAGACCTTGATTGGGCTTATTATGTCAAAACCATCTACTGGCTCGAGATATTCGGGTGATCCAACTACCCCTGATATGGAATTTACTGAACTAGAGGGGAAAACCCCTTTAGCCCTTCATTTGATTTGGATTATTGTGATTTTGCAATTCAATTTGGAGGGCAAGTCCAAGCACTACAAGGATGCATCGTTGGCCCATCTGTTTATAATGAACAATGTTCACTATATTGTTCAGAAGATTAAAGGGTCACCAGAATTGAGAGAAATGATTGGAGATGATTACTTGAGAAAGCTAACAGGAAAATTCAGGCAGGCGGCAACTAGTTACCAGAGAGCAACCTGGGTGAGTGTTTTGTATTGCTTGAGGGATGAGGGGTTACATGTAAGTGGGAGTTTCTCTTCTGGTGTCTCAAAGAGTGCTTTGAGAGAGAGATTTAAGACCTTCAATGCTATGTTTGAGGACGTTCACAGGACTCAAGCAACATGGTTGATTCCGGATTCTCAGCTTCGGGAGGAGCTTCGAATTTCTATATCTGAGAAGTTGATCCCAGCTTATAGGTCATTTCTTGGACGGTTCAGGAGTCATATAGAGAGTGGAAAGCATCCAGAAAATTATATCAAGTATTCAGTGGAGGATTTAGAGAGTGCTGTCTTGGATTTCTTCGAAGGTTCTCCTGCATCTCAGCACCTGAGGAGGAGATCTCAGTAAAGGAATGGATAAGTTTTGCCGATTTAGAAACTAGGACACATTCTTTGAATTTTTTGTGAAGTGTTTGGGTGATGTGGTTCTGGTTAATAGGGGGCTGCCCTGTGCACTCTAGTTCTTTTATGTATCATCAGTTAATTTTCCATGGATCAGAACAAGTAGAGTTCTTTGGGAAGATTTGGTGTAGCTCTCTCTTGAATAGCCAGGTCTCTCAACCTGAATGCTTCCACACTGTAAGCATGTTGTTTGTTTGGGCACCACATTCTAGATTTTTGTTCCACTTGTTCATATGGGAATTGTTGTATGTGTGATTTTCTTACTATATATTATATGAAGAATCAGTTTGCTTTTCCTAGCATCGAAATTCTCACGGACTAATCTATTTGTGGCCCGAGTTAAATGCATTTGGAAATGGAACTGGACAAGCTTTGATGATACGGGAAAGGTAGTAATGGTGGTTTAAATATACGTAGGTAGTTGGTGTTTTTTTCATTGATCAAAGGAAATATGAATGTTAGTTATTGGGAATGACAACTGAAGTCACTAAGCCTGCATTTATTGAGGATGAATCTGCATAAGGTTTCTTTTCTCAGTCCTATTGAAAATCTGCAGAAATGACGCATGGCTATGGTGCTTGTGACCATCACTCAACAAAGCTGTTGCATTAGAACTTCTACAATTAGATAACGCAACTAATTCTTGCACACTGAAACCAATTTTGTCACTTGATGATCGTCCCTTTGTTTAATTTCTGTTTACCATTGATTTCATGAAGGTTGATGCCAGATACATTTGAAGGTTGAGATCCGTCACAGACATAAAGTCCTGCAAGATATGACAAAAACTGGGACCCTTTTGTGCTTGAATAAATTTGGAAGCTTTTCAAGTCATCTCATTTCTTTAACAACGTAATCTCCAGCTGGCTTTAGGGTAACTTTGACAATTTGTGGATTCAACTTTCGATTCGGTTTGGATACATAAAGAATTCCTACTGTATACGTTTTTCTAATTCATTCGAACTCGGCTAGTAGTTTTGTCATTGCTTGTCTTGCTTGAATTTAGTGACCAAGTACTTCAGATATACAGTGTGTTTTTTACACTTTTTGATTGCTGGATATTTCATGATGACTGATTTCAAATTGAAGCTCACAGCAGCTTGCAAATGAGGTTTACCACCAAGGCTAGACTATCTCCCACTGAAAAGAGGTCTGGCTACCCGATTTTTGAATGGTTTCCATTAGTTTTATCATGTTTGCAGAGAAACTCATCACCCTTCAATCTGGGACAAATCTATCATCAACGCAGATTGATGGCTTCTTGTTTGATAATGAAAGGAACTGAAAAACTGAATTCTCCTAATTGTCTCTACTTCTGACCTCCCTTCATTAGATCGCCAAAAGTGTACGGATTAGAGACAAACGGAAAAAACAAGATAGGGAACAGGTCTTATCTGGTACCGTAATTTGTATGAATCTAACCCAAACTAAACTAGCAGGTCTATTATTGCCTTTGTTCAGTAATCAATACGCGTGTCCTCTGGGGTAGTGGACTCCAGGCCAACTCTTTCTTCAAGCAGGCAGAATAGTCGAACCATCTGGGGTGTCCGTATGATTTTGTGCTGTAAATTTGAGGCATGGATGAATTAACAATGAGTGATTTAGACCAGAACAGTCTTGAATTCAAGTTGACACAGACTCGGTTGTATCACAACAGATTTTTTTATTGTTTTTCGTAAAATAGAATTGAATGGGGAGGAGATATATTTAGTTAATGAAACTATTTGTGAACTGAAATTATGTCTCGTTACAATTATAAAAAGAAATAGCTTTCCCTCTTATGCAAAGATGGAATAGTTTTTGCCTGTAAATGCTGTTCTGGGAGCATTTCTTGTTGTTCCATTAGCTGATAATCAAAAGAGATCGGAAAGTTCTGGTAAAGAAGTTCGTCATTTTCTCTCTTCTAAGAACGCTGAATTCTTCTTCTTGTTCATGTCATCTAATGCAAATAGATTTACTTACATCTAAGAGAGAGACAGGAAAAACATGAGACATTTCCGAAAATAGTCAAATGAAACTAATCACAAGAGGATATTTGCGACAACCGAATAGCTAAAAGTTAGAAAATTAAGGAAAGTAGAAGGTGAGAATCAATCAACTGCTAAAATATTAGAGATTATAAAGCAACATGCAAGCAAGTCAACAGTCATTTTCTTTGTGGTCTGTATTTGCATCAGCCAAATCCCCCACTTTAGCATCATCCTTTGGATGCTTACTAGCTAATAAATTTGTCGGTCAAATCCACTTCAAGCATTTGTAGGGGACCCAAAACAAATTAAGCAGAAATTTCCCCTAAGCATTCTTATTAACAAGTGACAACTCTGACATGGTCCTTTTAAGTAAAAATACAGAAGTTCTCATAGCACTTTTTTTCATATAATTACCATTCCCAGTATGCGTAAGCATGGCTAGAGAACTACAATCCAATAAGGTATCAAAACTTAAACAAAAAAATGCTCCATCGTTTCCTCTATAACCAATAATGCACATTCAAGGATTACTGTAACAGGTACATAGAAATCTTATCTAAAAACCGTACATGGAAATACCACGAGCAAAAATGATAAACAAGAACTGAAGAAAAGCCATCCTATTGCAATCCCAAAGTAGACTTTTGCCTTGTATAATTTTGCTCCATGCATATTTAGGGAGTGATAGTTACAGCAATAACAGATGATTGCACCTGCTTTAGAGCGATGATTGCACACCTGCTTTAGAGCTTCGTAAATGAGATTTGCATTACTCTGTCTTATCTTCTTCCGAATCATTATTTGATGCTCCATTGCTGGCTTGCACTGGTCTAGGTTCCAGTGAACTTTGAACATCCTTAGAAGGTATGGTGGATGGTTTAATGAGTGTTAAAGTACCATCATCCCTATCAAACTCATCACTTGCATCATCTGAGTATGCGTATCTGTCAAGAAATCAAGAAATGATCAAGGAGAAGACAGTAACAAAATTAAGGTAAAGTAGATGCCTCAACCCAAGAAGATGATCTTTCTGTCAAGAAATCAAGAATCGATCAAGAAGACAGTAAAATAATTAAGGTAAGGACAATGGCCAACCTAGAAGATGATCTTTTATGCTGTGGCAGTGTTCCATAATAAGAGCACAAGTTTACTTGGAAAAGACATGATTCTAATTCATTCCATATAACAGAAAAAGCATTTACGTTCACATGGGAATGACCATATCCATATATTTCAGTAAGACAGGAGTGCTTAATAACTGAAAGACAGAACGATGAATACAAGTGCACAAGCATGTTGGATGGGTATTCTGTTTACATCTTTAGGTGAAAATAATGGTACGACAATATTAAACTATATAGTTATAAAGTATCTTTAGTGCCAATCCAAACAAACTGTAAATCCATCATTAAGTTCCTGTTGTCGAAAAAATGGTGACAGTTCATGAAGTTGATTGAAAGCACTTTTCATACCCTGTTGTTGCTGAACCACATCTTACTTAAGGTGTGTTCCCAAAAACTTTGAATTTTTTTTTTGCTTAAAATAATTTTTTTATGTTTTTACATCATTTTAATATGCTGATATTAAAAATAATTTTTTTAAAAAAAAAAACTTCATTTTGATGCATTTCTAAGCATAAAGCACTTTGAATCACCACCGCTACCACAATCCCAAACAGGCCTTAACACACCAAGTTAATACATAAGCAAAGCACCAACCTCTTATAAACCATTGTTGGGGCCTATTAAACATTGACATTTCTTCTTGGAGGTTGAAAAGAGATTTAACAATGACATTATGGTATAAAAAGGGGAAGGTCTAGCACAAAAACTATGCCTTACCGCATTGAGTTCTGAGAGGGAGCCCAAAGAGCACAGATGACACATAGGAGAGAGAAGGAAAGGACTCGCCAGAAAGCTGGGATGACCCACGCATTCTGCCAGCGCTCATTGTAAACATCATTTGCTTTGAAATACAACTGCAAGTAGAAAACTACAGAATTTAGTGACAATGGGATTCCATGAATGAAGTTGGATCAGTAAAACATTGTACAAACAGTTCTCTTTTTTATCTCAGTTTTGATAAAAGTACCAAATACAATACAGTTAATTTGAAACTGTCATGTCTTATTCACAATTTAAGCCATCCCATCCTATATTTTATCTGTTATAACCTGTCTCAGAGCTTTGTAAAACTCAAATACCTTACAAAATCATTAAAGTCAGAATGCAAGAACATAGTTTTATATTTAATAAGAAATTACTGTTGTATATATATATAAGAAAGAAAATGGAAAGACATTTTCTTTAAGTTCTATTCCAAATTCTGTAGTGCTAGATGCTAAGCAATTAGCTTACAGTAAAACATTGCAAGTAGTTAGAAAAACATCCGTGAATTATTTACGCTTTTACAGTAATTTTTTTGTAAAATCATTGTCCAGTGGCGAGGAAACTTAGTGCTAACATAGTCGGAAATTATAGTATATTACCTCATAGCATAACCAACCCACTGACACAATAACTGCTACAGCAAGAGCATTAGTGAATTTCCGGTATATATCCAGCTTGACCATCATCCTTTTAGCCTGTGACATCAAATGAGGAAGGAAATGTTATTATTCAAGTTAATTTCTATTGCTTTCAAACACGTACACTTGTAGTATCAGAAACTCTGATGTTTAAACGCATGTTACATGATTGATAATCCAGATACTTTGCTTCTGATTGATTTTATAGATTACCAAATCATCTGATACAAAGGGTATCAAGAGTAGTTCAAATCAACATGTAAAACAATTAACTAACACCATATGAAGTCCATAAGTTAAAAGAATGGAGTTCTATGTTTTCTGCATCAAATAGTAGCTTTAATAGTCATGAGTAAAATAGCAATCCATCCTATCCAGTATCCATTACAAGCTAAGAAGAAAAAAAGGCATTGCTGTGAATAAACATTATTCAGAATGTCAAACCAAGTACCTGAAGCTTATTTAAAGTCGCAGAAAGAGACTTAAATATCCAAATAATAATGAAAGCATCCAACATTGACACAGGAAGCACCAAAAACAGTCTGGCCCTCCCAGAAAGGTCACTGACAGTGCCAACATTTTCTACCAATTCAAGCACTTCAGATGCCACAAAAAAGGTCACTCCAACCAGTATCACCTTTGATGTAAGACCACCTAAGGTAGGTCTCACAACACCATAGCCCATTGAAACCATAAGAATGACAAGGCGTGCTACTGTAAGTTTAATAGTACCAAAAGTAACTGCCCATATAGTGATACCAGTTGGCCTAATTCCACTCTCGTTGAATTCAGCAAAGTCAAAATACCAGAAAGCCATCTCAAACATGCCCAGTGTTATCACCAATGTTATGCAATTTTGCAATGGAAAAACTTCTCGCCAGAATCTTGCATACTGAGAGAACCAGAATAATCCAAGTATAACAAAAGCAAGGGACATGAACCCATAAAATCTCATTAAAGGTGCCATTCTACCAGGTAAATAGCCACTGGGATTTTTCCATATAGTTTTCCCCTCGACAACTACCTCTTTAAGATTAGGATCACAATGCATGAAATACAAATTATACATCCCAGTACTGGATATCTGTATTGATTTTGATGGGAATGTCGCAACTAGCTCGTCTACATTGAATGAGACACCAAAGACTTGAGGCCAGCTGGGATCTTTTGTTGAAGGACGATGAATGATTTCTCCTTCTGAACAAACACCCAACTTCGCAAGATCAGCTGTGCAGCAGACAGCTCTTTGACCACCATAGGCTGAACCACCAACTAACTCTCGATCCTTTACCTCAAAAACAATAGCTTGTACCAACCCCGAACTATAGTTAGAAAATTCCTGAGTTCTCCGGAATGTAATCTTTTCAAAACTGGTGACAAATGACCACATAAAATTAGTCATTGGGGATGAATGATACTGAGAATATAAAGCACGATGCTGTATTTGATACAATATAACAACCGAGGCTATACATTGAAAGTTGTATGCCAATGAGACGAATTTTGATGATGACTTCCAAAAATAACATGGAAATACAAGGTCCTGAACAAGCCCAAATTGAACCAGGTACCAGATGCCCAGGTTAGGAATTTAAACTACTAAGCTCAAAAGTAGCAAGCTCATTTTAACCCTTTGCGACCCCGTGAGTAACAGAATCTCAATATTTAACTTCGGAGGATAATTCTCTATGCTATGTTAGAATTGATAAAGTTTACAATCTGTTCTCACTATATGCTTACATGATTTAAGACCACATTGAACCCTAATTCATCTTGAAAACCAATTAGTTCTTGTGAAGTGCATTATCTACTCCAATTCTAAAACTTGACCCACAATGGCGTAAATTTAGTAGATTACTGATGACAAAAATAAACTTTGGCATCTTCTCAGCAAAAACCTATCTTTGTTTTCATTTCTACATCACATTTGTAAGCATAACTATTTATAACTCCAAGAAGCAAGAGACCTTGTCATAATTACACTCAACACACACTTAGATATACAAGGTAAGCATGCAGATTGTGGAGAAATGAATAAGAATTACCGTATATAAGAGTCCCCATTAGCAGGAAGGACACTATTCTCATTGTGATTTCCAAGTGAAAATACAGTTCTCATAGCACTTTTTTTCATATAGTTACCGTTCCCAGTATGCGTAAGCATGGCTAGAGAACTACAATCCAATAAGGTATCAAAACTTAAACAAAAAAATGCTCCATCGTTTCCTCTATAACCAATAATGCACATTCAAGGATTACTGTAACAGGTACATAGAAATCTTATCTAAAAACCGTACATGGAAATACCACGAGCAAAAATGATAAACAAGAACTGAAGAAAAGCCATCCTATTGCAATCCCAAAGTAGACTTTTGCCTTGTATAATTTTGCTCCTGCAGTAATTCTCGATGCATATTTAGGGAGTGATAGATACAACAATAACAGATGATTGCACCTGCTTTAGAGCGATGATTGCACACCTGCTTTAGAGCTTCGTAAATGAGATTTGCATTACTCTGTCTTATCTTCTTCCGAATCATTATTTGATGCTCCATTGCTGGCTTGCACTGGTCTAGGTTCCAGTGAACTTTGAACATCCTTAGAAGGTATGGTGGATGGTTTAATGAGTGTTAAAGTACCATCATCCCTATCAAACTCATCACTTGCATCATCTGAGTATGCGTATCTGTCAAGAAATCAAGAAATGATCAAGGAGAAGACAGTAACAAAATTAAGGTAAAGTAGATGCCTCAACCCAAGAAGATGATCTTTCTGTCAAGAAATCAAGAATCGATCAAGAAGACAGTAAAATAATTAAGGTAAGGACAATGGCCAACCTAGAAGATGATCTTTTATGCTGTGGCAGTGTTCCATAATAAGAGCACAAGTTTACTTGGAAAAGACATGATTCTAATTCATTCCATATAACAGAAAAAGCATTTACGTTCACATGGGAATGACCATATCCATATATTTCAGTAAGACAGGAGTGCTTAATAACTGAAAGACAGAACGATGAATACAAGTTGTTGAGTGAGTCTTCCTTTGCCAATAGATCTTTCATGTAGAGTACTTGTTACCAGTACTACCGTGCTTTTGGATCAGCCAAAAAGGCTTTCCATCATTCACCTTTGAATATCTTTTGTTTCGGTGTGATTATTTTTGAATGCTTAAGTTACTTCTTGTTTTTTTTTTCAGTTTTTTTTAATTAGCATGGTATCGACTATCGAGCCAACTGGAGCATAATTTAATTAATTTTATATTTTTTAAAATTAATAATTATATAAATTTTTAATAATTTTGAAATTTATAAAATTCAAATTAGAAATATTTAAAAAGTAAAGTCATAACTTAACTAGTTAAACTACACCTCTTGAAATTAATTCAAGTGTCTCTTAAAATTGTTTTTTTTTAATTTTTTTTTTTATTAACGTGGGTGTCCGGGTCAGCTTACGCGCACCACGACTAATCCCATGGTCCACTGAACATCCTGCAAGCGCAGTGAATAGGTAAGGCATCGCGGAGGTGACAGGCATACCACACAGAGAAAAGCCAGCAGACATAGGAAGGAAACCACTCGTCAACCCCACTGCAACTGGGACTCAAACCGAAGTTCGAAAGAAGGCGAGCAACGCCTTACACCACTGAGCTACAAGCTGCTTGGTTTTTCTTAGTTTTTGATATTAAGGTGGTTGTTGTAATTTTCACTAAAATAAAGTACCTAGAATGACAACATATTTTTCATATATTTTTTTGGTAGTAATTTGACACTTTAATTTTTTTAAAAAATTACAAGGTTAAATATTCTAAAATCTATAAATATATTGATGAAATAAAAAATCAATTCATTCTTTTTTAAAAAAGACACTAACAAATCTAGGTGAGGTAGTCAAAATAAATTATGTGAACAGGATAACCTAATAAAACACAAAATAGTTGGTTGATCCATGACTCGAGTGATCCCAAGTTTAAAACAAGTTAGATTTCAAAAGAAATTTAAGAGAATTAATTTATTGTGAAATGATAAAAAAAAAATACAAGTTGACTTATAACCTAGTTAACCTATGACGAGCCTAGTTAAGATCAGGTAAGAAACCATTGAATACTTTATTTTATTTTTTAAAACATTATATCATTTTTCTTAATTTATCTTGAGTTAATTTCACTTGACTCGTACTTACCCTTGATTGACTCCTAGAAAATAAAAGGACAACCTAAAATTTTGAGTTAAATAGCAATATTGAAAAGAGAAATCAAATTAAAAACAAAAATCAAAAGAATGAGAATAAAACTTGACGAAATTAAAAAATCAAGATTATAAGTTTAAGGATAAAATTGAAAATAAATTAAAATTTAATAAAAGAGCTGAGAGTTAAACTTAAAAATCAAAACATTGAGGGTCAAATATAAAACGTAATGTAATAACAATACAATCTATTTTTTTAATGGTTAGAACAAAGTTCAATGTGCAAAGAGAGAAAAGAAAAGGAAAAAAAATAGTTAGAGTCAAATTGTCCTTCAAAACACTAAGCGTGTGTACCCCTTATGGAAGGAGGAGCCGTGTTACTTCAAATATTATGATGGAAGCTAGTGTTCTTTCACTTCATGGTGGCTTATGTGCTTCTCAAAAAACTTGGAGCCATCTCACACGCTAACATATGTGGAGTACGTGACACCAATATATATATATCAAAAGAAGAAGAAGATAGAATCGCCTCTAACTCAACTTAATAAATAACAAAGAAAAAAACTCTATAGGAAGTGACAAAAACACCCCTTAATGCAAAGTTTAGAAAATTTTATTTTAAGATTGATTTAGTAATTCCAGTATTTAAAAAAGATAAAGGTAAAGGTAAAGAAATGAAAAAACCCCTTAAAATAATTAAATGAAAATAACTTTCAAGGGAAATTAAGTAATTTAATTGTACCATTAAAAGATAATGTTATTGTACTGACCATCATGAATTTGACAATAATATTTAAATTCTTATGAAATTACTAATCTATCATCATAGTAGCTATGTTGTCTAGGGGTAAAATAATAATATTATTATGAAAAGCACACAATGAAATACTGAGCTCTTTTAGTTTTATACTATTATATTTGCTCGTGTTCCATCGTAAGTCGAACTATTCTTTTTTTAAAACTTAAAAATAAATGTTAAGAGTAATTTTAATGTGAAAAACACACAATAAAACATTAAACTCTTTTAGCTTTATACTGGTGTATTGCTTGTGCAAGTTGAACTATTCTTTTTTAAAACTTAAAAATAAATATTAAGAGTGAAGAATTTTTTTGCAGTAGCATTTAATCAAATGATCTTGAAACTTGTTGATTCGATTCCTTGCCTAGCATGAGTATCAAATTAAATCATGTGGGAATTAATCCAAAATGAATCACTCAATTTAATAAGTTAAAGACAACTTGAATAACCGATAAAAATATAATATAACTTTTAAAAAATCTTAAGATGATATTTTTTAAATATAAAACAATACCACATTAAATCGACATCAGTCACCCTATGACTTGAGTTATTACCTTAAATAAGTTTAATATTTTTTTTGTTTTTGTAAATTATTGTTATTTAATTTTATAATAAAATTAGATATTTGCAAAATTGAGCACTAAACCTAAATAATGTGTTTATTTGAGATTGTTATAATCCTATATAAAGTAGAAAAAAAAAAACTATGAATTATATTTCTCAAACAATTCAATATTAAAAAAGAGTAGAATAAAGAAAAATAACAATTAGAAAAATTAAAGGAACAAAAACTATATATATATATATAAAACATATGAGATTTAATAGGTAAACATGTTAAACCTATGAATCGGATAACTCAAGTTAACATGTCAAACTTACAAAACAAGTAATGAATTCCATTAAGATTAATAACTTGTTTTTTTTTAAATATTATTTATTTAATTATATGATAATAAAAACAAATAATTACATAGTTAAATGTTAAACCAATACTAAGATAATTTATGTAACCTAATTCTTAATTAGTCGATGAAATTGAAAAAAACAATTTTTTTTAAAAAAATTAAACTCGTGAAACCTGTCAACAAGCTTATAGATTTTTTAAAATTTAATAATATTTTTTTTTTCTAAAATTATTTTTTTAATTATATAATTAAAAAAAAATAAACAATCACATTCAATTAAAAAAATAAATCTCTATAAACCTGTGAACTAGGAATATTATATCAAGTTTACAAACCGGGTCATTGACTCTATAAAATTTAATAACCTAGTTTTTTTAATTATTTTTTATTTAACTAAATTAAAAAAACACAAATTATACTATAATGCTATAATATTTTTCTAATATCAACCCGATATTTCTAAATCCCAATAAACATCATATAAAGACTAAATTAAAAAAAAAAGATTAAAAACCAAAAGAAAAAAAAAAGTAAAACTTAACTATGTAAATTATTATTATAATTCACAATGTTAATAAATATGAAATATTTTTTTTATTTTTTTATTTAACTAAATATTTTTTTAAATAAATCATACCACAAAATTAAAATATTTTTCTAATATCAACCTGATATTAGAATATTTTTTTAATACCATAATAAACATATAAAAAAATTAAAATAAATTATTAATTCTAAACCCTGGTAAACACATTATACAAAAAACTAAATTAAAACAATTAACAACAAAAAAAAGGATCAACATACAATAATAGTAATAATAAAAACAACACAATAATAATAATAAAAACAACGTGTAATTCACAGTCTAATAGGAATTTCATTACCTTGGGTACGATTTTGGGCCATAATTCCAACTTGTACTTTAATTTTGGTAGATAAACTTATTCGCACTTCAATCTTTCTCCAAATATAAAATGAAAGAAGAAGAAAGTTGTCTTGAAATAAGAAGTTTCTTGATGCAATCCTGCAAATAACTGTGATCACTAACAAGCGAATTGCATACAAGATCTCCTGCATAGATCCGGGTCCATACAGTCCATGCAGACAAGAAAGGACACAACGAAGGTGAGAGATATGACTTCAAAGATCTATTTATGAGGTGCTCTTGTAATTTTTCTGGTTATAACTGAAAAATCCAGTTACAATTTGGTAGCCAATGGTATCAGTGAACTGCTAAGCTTAACTTGAGCATAAAATAACCTCGATAACAAGCCCTGAATAAATTGCTCACACATTCTTTGCAAAATGTTACAGAAACTACGAGAAAATAACATCCAACCTTATCATATCTCCTAAACCTCTGCCCGCTAAAATATGCGCAGATTACAGCCTGTATGTAAGAGATGCACTAGTCCAAATCAAGGAACTCCATTCTTTTCCTCATTGTACCTTTTAGATCTGTTGCCTCCCTTTCTGCTTTCTGCGCCTGCAAAAATTAAAAGTTCAAAATTATTACAGTAAAGATGAAAGGCAGCTGATATATACGCATCTTTCCTGTGCAGAATGAGAGACTCCTAAAGCAAATTTCGTGAGAACAAAAGGAAATTCTGATATCTCTTTGTTAGTTTAGCAACAGCAGCAGATTCTTTGACAAAAAAATAGTGGCTACCTTCCCTTGTAACTGCTTTTTGCTTACAAGGTAATTTTACCCTAAAAGATATTTACCATTACGCTTCAAAGGAAAATGAGGGAGGGAAACAATGGAAGTTTAACTCCTTAGTAAATAATGAATGAAGTTCCATTGGCAGGGGGTAGCCCTAACTGGAGAATGAACAGCAGAGCTAAAATTGTGTTCATTTAGGGAGGGAACCATAAACACAATTTATGTCATGCTTCATTTCTCATGAACTTTACTAAAATGATAGCGGCAGA